GCATCAGAAATGTTATAAAAAATTAATGACAAGTGACAGGACAGATCACCTAATGTTTATATTCATGCTTAAAATTTTTTTTGTCTACTTGCTATATTCAAAAGAATTTTGAATTTCTTTTTTTAAAGTTCCATTTGCAAGCTCTTTCTTTCTTTTCATTTAACATAATACATTGAAAACAATAAGTTACTTGTCATTCTAAGCTTCCAGAGTTCTATTTTTTTTTGTGATAGAAAGTTCAGAAAATACATTGGTAAGCATTGGTAAGGGAAAGGTGAATTAGTAGCACTGGGAAATTAATGGGAATTTACTTGTCTGTATAAATATATAAGTAAGCTTATATGCCACTATATTTTATTACCTATCTCACATGTGTTGTATATACCAACATTTCTAATTTATCTCCATTGAATTTATGGAAATTTATAGATTGATATTCATAGAGCAGAATTTTTTATAGTGGGAATATGAAATAATTAGCATTGAATTTCATGGACTCAGGATTTACGATCATTCAAGCTTTTTAGTGAAATTGATGATTTGGGTGGAGATAGTAGCATTCCTTAAAGTTCAAATGAAGATTTAAATGGAGATTATACAGCTGAAAGCATTCATCAATTTTCATTTTAAGTTTCTTTCCAGAGTATAAATTTATTGACTCTAGATTTTTAAATAAAGAGTTAAGACCATGACAAATTTTATTTTTCTCATGTGTCTCTAGCTTCCAGATGTCTTTGAGTGACACCAGCCAGGTAGTCAACCAGCATGATTTTCTCACAGTCTTCAGGATCAATAAAACAAAAAACAACTAAATCACTCTCCCAATTTCCTACTTCCGGAAGCATCAGTCTTATTATTAGAAGATGATACATTGAAAGTGACACTCGTATTTTCATGTACATGTCCATGTGGATGGGTCATGGTCCATATGTGACTTAGTCACCTTAGTGAACTAACCCACTTCTTAAACAACGGGTCTTTAAAATAATGGATCATCAACCATTATTAGGAATTATACATTCCTAATTATACATATACCCAATTCATAAATTGGGTTTATGAATTTGGTTATAAGATTCATTTCATTCTCAGGGATAGGATTGTATAGTAAAAGTGAAAAGAAACCATGTCATCAGGATTAACGACATGCCTTCCCTCCATAAATGATGAGTTCATTTTAACAGACCCAAATCAACAGACAATTGTTCGTGTAAACCTAAGTGTTTCTTGTTGTTTTTTTCATCCATGTAGAAGTTATGTGATTGATTCATAATCAGCAGAGGGGACCTTAAGAACACTTGCCAGATTCTATCATTTTCAATACTGGGTTTGTAAACCCTGCAAACAATCTGATGTTATTTGAACCTGGCTTATATAGTTCTGGAAGCTTGCATGGAAAGTACCCAGCTGGGTAAAAAGGCCTATTGGTTTTCTCCATTCTCCATTCCCTTGAGAAATAGGGGCTATGAATTTTCATAAAGCAAATGACTTTTGAGTTAATACAGCAAAGATCAGTAGCAGCTTCCTACTGAGTCAGAGCATTGGGTGAGCCTGGGGGCAGATGAGAACAAATTGTCTCACAGTCAAATAGAATAACAGGAAGGTCTTATTATTTTTCTGTTTTCTGAAAGACCCCTGCAGAGGCAGGAGCAGGCAGTGGAATCAGGTTTACCACCTGCAGAGATGCAGGAGAATAAGAGTCAGCTGTTGAGTTTCTTGTGTGAGACAGGATATTGGAGATTGAATTCTGATTGGTTGTAAAGTCAAAAGGATGTAGAGGAGGCAGCTGTTATTAGGCAAAATGGGGAGTGTAAGTGACCCACGATGATGTCAAGTCAAAAGTAATGAATCTCAGCCTTCCATTTTATTGTGCTGGTGAACCTCCCACCCTCTTAAACAGGTTATTGGAATGGGAAATTGTCACTCAGTGGAGAAAAGAAAGGCATGTGTATCTGTGTGATGATATATACATCCCAGGGAAGAGTGAAAAATCTTAAACAAGACCCCTGACCAATCGACAAACAAAAATCAAAAACAGAAAGAGTAGATAAGTAAAGACTAGGTGTTTGCCTGAGACATACGTGTCATTCCACCAGGAAAATTACAGAATTTAATACTGATTCTCAAGACTATGCTGTATGATGGAAACTTCATGCAAATTCCATTTTCTTTTTTGGGAATAGAGAAATTCTAATAAATGAGTGAAAAATCAGTGGCTTCCACAAGTCAGCCTCTGACTGGAGAATATTTTGGGGTTTAAATGATGACTGTGGGATTGTAACTGGGTCTTCTTAACTCAGAACTGAAAACATATACAGAAGTCATCTCTACCCAGATATTTGCAGCTAGAAGCATTGATCTCTTTTTTGTTTGTTTGTTTTGGGGTGGTGACATGATGGTCATAGCTGGATAAGGAATATGAAAAGCATCTCTTCAACCCCAAAACCCATCTCCCGAAAGGTGAGCTTATGAGACAGATATGTACACAATATGGCATGTTATATGGGGCACTTCTGCCCTACCCGAACATTCAGAGCAAGTCATCGCTATTCTTTCTAGAGTCACCTGCTTTGTCTTTCCCTGTGGACTGGGAAATCACAATCATCAAGATATGACAGTGCAGTGACCTTTCTCTCTACTCTGGCTTTGTTAGTTTTAATGGTTTTACCTTGCATCCGTAAGGGGGCTCACTCATGCTCAGTATAAGGACCTATGTTCAGCTTTACCAAGACTCAAGAGAATAGTTCTCTCTTTAATTTCCAGCCTTTCTCTTATACCTCCCTTGGTTTGTACCACTTCTCTCATTTCCATGTGATATTTTATAATCCTGAGTATTCATTGAAATTTTCTAACATTAGTGGGTAATGTTAATTAAATAAACAGTTTATATTTGAACCAAAACAACAGAAATTTCTTTTAAGAAACTTGAAAGTGAATTATAGCCTGTTATCATGATACCAGTTGTTTCAAAAATTGAATTGCAAAGTAAGGAGTAAGAAGTTGGAAGTAACTTTGTGTATCAATCATCTGGTCCTGGAAGATTGTTGTTAAACATTCTTATGACTGTGCTTGTGGCAATACGAAGATATATTTTTCTCATAATCTGGTAATTTCTATATGTTTTAAACACAACAATTTGTCTAATTATTACTGAAAGGATCTTGTTTTAATTTTTGAATGTATAAATATAGTTGCTTTAAGTAAGGGCTTTGAATCCCTTGGGCATTTTGTGTTAAGTGTGATCAGGCGCTTTTCTGTACCTTTGTATCTGTGTTGTTGAATGTCAACTTCTACCCAACTCTTGAGATAATGTTGGAAAAAGTGTCATCCACATGTATCCTAGGTAATCTGAGCTAAGCTAAGTGTGCCTTTTCAATAGGAAATTTGCAAGGGAATGGCTATCTGTCTGAGCAATATTGGCATTTCACTTTGCCATTGTCATGTTATCTAAAGAAATGAGAAGAGTTTATTTTAAAACTGCCAGCTGTCTATTTGAAGCTGAGATGTGTTTCAGATGGCCAAATGCAGAGTTGGTCTCTTTGATGACAACACTGGCTCATCATGGGTCATGGATCACGATCACCGGAGGCATCTCCTGCCTCCAGAAGAGATGCCTGCTGGGGTTCCAAGCCACCTCTGAGCAGAGGTGACCTCACCAAGTTTCTCTGACTTTGTGACATTGGTAGTTTTCCTTTTTAATGGTCACTACAAATAAGGAGCCTTTTCTACATGGTGGCCTGGCTCTGACATTCACTCTCCCTTGGTGGGACCAACACCTGAGAGGTTGCCATTTTGCTTTTAGGAGAAGACCGAAGCAAAGAGCTGACATATGTTGCTCACATTCACAAAATCAAAAAAAGATGCTGCCATAAGTATCCAGACATGGACCCACGAGACCTGGAGCTCAACTATTTAGCCTCTTCATGAGACTCCCTTACTTGACATGACCAAGTTGCTAAGGTAGATCATCTACCTAAGTGGATGAAAATCACTGACAGTAGAGTCCCTGGGATTCTTGTCCCAGCTATGGCATCTCCATTCTTCTTTCCTTACTACTAGTCATTGGTGGGGAAAGAAGGGTACAGGAACAAAAATAACAGCAGAGAATAAAGGAGAAAAGGCCTCTACTGCCTTGGAATTGAATAAGTCAGTTTCTCCAGCAAATGATCACTCAAAAAAACAAAACTGCCACTTCTCATCTACACTCCGGGGAAGGGGCGGCAGAAAGGCATCCCATCCATAAGAATGGATGTGAAAAAAAAAGGGAAGGCAAAGAAGGACACTTGTATTCTTTCTCTTCAGATTTCAGAAGAAATCTTTGCCCATCTGAGTCAGGGCTGTTCTTCCGTGTTTGTCCTGGAATGGCAGGTACTTCTAGCAACGCCATTGTAAAGATGGTTTCGAACGACATGTGTTGAAGAGATTTATTTATTCTTTGGAGTATCTTGACCAAGAACTGGTCAGAAGGCAAAATACTGGTCGTTGAGCAAATGCCTGATGAGCAGAAAGCCATGTGATGTTGTCTCTTGAGCTAACTCTTATTATAGCCCATTAAAAATACAAATTTTCCTCCCCAATGTAGTGTTGCATCTGAATGATCCATTTCATGGGTGGAAGCCCTAGTATGTACATATGTAAATATACATACAAAATACACTTAGTTAACATTCTAAAGCTTTTTTAAGGCCCTGGTTTTAATTACTTTGATCAGAAAATATAAAAAATTAGAATAATACATATCCACTCTGGGGTGTATTCTTTGTGAAGAGGAGATTATTAGAGGCAACCCTAAAACTTTATTAGAAGGTAAATTCAAACCCCTCATCTTAGAGGCCTCCCTTGTGGAGCAAGAAGTTAAAGTCTCTGCAGCCACTGCAGCATGAGTTTGATCCCTGACCAGGGAACTGACCCACAGGGTGCAGCCGACCTCTCTTGTCTCACCCGCTGCTCACCTCAGCAGTATATTTCAGTCAACCCACCTGTTCTATTCCCCACTCTGTCTCTGGTGAATCCTCTCAACCCCCGCACACCATTGGCCTACACTCCAGCTCTTATATGCATACAATACATAAATCTTGTCCCACAGCATCTGAGAAAGAAAGTCCAGTTATTCATCCCAAGGCAGTTGTTTTATTTGCAATATTTGGATGTGTGAGATGGGGAGTAGAGGGTGGGGAGCCCGCACCTAGAGTAGTGGGGGTCCTGTGGACTATGGCCAAGGGGCATCACACTATGGTGGGGCAGGAGATACATTTGAGGAAGTGTGAAGCTTTATTCCTAAAACATATACAGTGTTTCAATCCAAAGTTACCCCAATTAAATAAAAAAGAAAGTATTTAAAGTTGACAGCTTTGTGGGTAGACCGTCTGACTGGACCATCTACACAGATCAAATAAAATGGGTGCTTGCTAAATCTCTGTTGTATTTTATACCAAAGAAAGCCAGTCTAAGATGAGAACTCTCTTAAGAAAACTACTTAGATGACTGACATTTTACAGAGGAAATCTTGACACTTAGCAAAGATCAAAGAGAGTTGTCTCTAGATGACATGAGATAAGCACAATCTTCACGATGATCCCTTTTGGGTCATTGTTAATATTTTTTGCCTACCTATGATACAAAATTGAAAAGTAAGTGGATCATCCAGTTTTCTCTATCGTTATTTCTTTCTGTTTTGAGATGAAATTTATTGGATCCATATTTCTTCAAAAGATTAAACTGTTCTGACAACCAGCAAAACATCTGTCATTTTATCATGCTGATTTAAAAGACAAAAGTGTTCTGAGAAGAGTTTAAAAAAAGATAATAATAATATAGAAAGGGAGCATGCAGAGGGGAGAAACTGCTGAGAAACGAAGAGCACATTTTAGCACTTGACTTCCTGCATGGAGAGAGAAGTGATAAGCTCATTGACCCATGATCACACTTTGTGAACACTTCCATGGGAACGAGGGGATTGCACAGTTAAAACTGTGAAACAAGTCACTACAAGTCACAGAACGACAGCTCTAATCTCTTACAATGAATCTTAGGAAGTCCTTGTAAAACAGAGGGTCAGCGTTTCTGCATCGGACATGTACGTGTTTCAGAATACCTTTCATATTAATCTTACCCCTTACCCTCGTGGAGCTAGGTAAGAGACATTATTCTTTAAAATAAAAAATGGCATATGAACCCAAGAAATGAAGGAGGACATCATGTCTTAGTAGAAGATAATTTTAACATTAAAGGTAAAAAATAGAACAAAGGACTCCTTTACAGAAGACTAAAAAGTCTTGGGCTTTCCATACAAGGTACTTAGAGCAGAGGTAGCATTTACTTTATAGTCACTATGGTGAACTTAACAACTGATGGTTTTTCTTTGACCAAGTCAGACATATTTGCGTGAAAACAAAATATTATACACAGGAGAGTCATCACCATGATGACCTCAATTCACCTACCATGGTGCTTGGCCCCACTGGGTGACTTCCTTGTGTCTGTATACACAAGTTGAGTGCCTTAGTTTGGCACCCTCTTCTCCTTCCCAGAAAGTGACATGTTTTGGCCGTCCTCTCCTGTGTGGAGTGCAGTACCAGAGAAGAAAGGGTTTTGATGACTCACAAGCAGGCATTTTCCTAAGACACTAGAGCCTCTTACACACTCTCGCAGTGACCTGCTTCCATATCCAGGTGGCTTCTAGGTCAGTAAGGGTCTGAAGAACATGAGACCCATTTAGGGCAATGGAGCGGTTTCTGCTTCCAGATTTTCTAGCTGAAAGAAGAGAAAGAGCAGAGACAGTGAGCATTTCAGGTTTGACTACAACATACGTTTATTGGGCTGCTTCTCTGTGGCAGAACTGTATTAAGGACCATCATCAAGCACACTTTCACCTGCCTCCGTCAGAGCTGTTCTTAAATGCCAAGACACTCATTCACGTCTTAGGTCCTTGGGAAGCATTGTGGATCATTATGAAATCCTGTTACATTTGTATTCACAAATTAATTGTAATGATAGACTAGTCATCAAAAAGATGCCATTGGTGGTTTCCCTGGCAAAATGGATCTTAACCCAAGCTCTCCCTTCCTCTTTGTCAGTGAATTATGATTGAATTATGACTTGACCAAAATTTAAAAAATCCATTTCTTTGAATTACCATTATGTTCTTTATTTCTAGATAGACTTCTATTTGTCACCTAATTCTCAAGATGAATGGATATTTTCCTGCACTGACCTGAAGTTCAAAGATTTCTCCTTTCTGCCTTCACTGAAGAGCCAGCATGTATGTTTAGATGTTGTACAATTACATGACACACTCACACACACATACACACAAACACACGCAAACGGTTTGGTATTTTCAGATAAAAGAGGATTGTAGAAATGAAATATGCTGTCACTGACAAGCAGTTGTTGCTGTCACTGTTACAATTTTTGGTGGGTAGAAAAGATGTTTGTATAGTGTAGGGTGAATGAGTTAATGCGGCCTTTTTTTTCTTAAAAGATTTATTTATTTATGCTTACAGAACTGGGGTACAGGCCAGAGGTGCAGGGGTGGTGAGAGGATTCACCAGAGACAGAGTGGGGAGCAGAATAGGCAGATGGACTGAAATACACTGCTGAGGGGAGCAGTAGGCATGTCAGGAGAGGTCTGCTGTGCCCTGTGGGTCAGCTACCTGGCTGGGGATTGAACTGGCACTGCAGTGGCTTCAGAGAGCTTCATAATGTGGTGCTATAACCTGTTGTGCCACCAGGGAGAGCCCAGTCAGGCCTTTTCAAAGTCACTAGCCCAGGTGGCTCTCACCTGTGGTTTGCACTGTGTAAATGTAGAAGGCCCTGGGGGCGTGGGAAAGTATAGGAAGGAGGACGATACAAAGAACTCCATGGCCCCTTTTCCCAGATCGGCCACTGTTAAAATGTTGCTCTATCTGCTGTGCCATTTGCTTTCTCCTCTATTTTCTCCTCTTCTACAAATGCACACACACATTCTCATATTGGCTCATTGGATACTAAGCTGACCTTTTCCCACTAAACTTTTCAGTATAAATTTCTGGAGAATAAACAGTAGAAAGATCATAGCCACCATTGGGACAGGTGGCCTGGATGTCCCCATATGTCCCTGCTGACTGGACCAAACTGCCAGGCATCTGTCCTGTGGCCCAGACTAGTTTCTGTCAAAAGTCATACTGGCCATGAACTGGGTCCCCAGCGCTGGCCACCGTGTAGCCACTGGCTCCAGGGTAGGTTTGTTTGTCTCTTAACCAGAAAGGAGCCAGATTTGAGCTCTGAGTTCCTCGATCAGGCACAGCCCATCATGTGTGGCCACTGCCTCATCCTATTTCGGGACTCTGGGATTCGGAATAGGACAGACACCCCTATAACAGCTTCTGCTGGTCACTGTGCTCTGAGTAATGAACTGGCCAAGTTTCTGTCTCATTTTGGTACCCAGAGTTACGATGAGACAGCAGCTGGCTGGCTCAGTGGTCTCCAGTGGAGTCTCACTACTTCTTGCTCTCCTTGAGCAGGGCGGTTCTTGCACAGTGGCACAACAGCCAAGGTGCCATGACTCTTTGGAAAGAGAAAAGGCAAGGGATCATGGGCAAGGTTTGCAGACATAAAGCAAGTTCCAGGGAGCAGGGAGCAAATGTTGTGTCCCTCGTGACACAGGTGAAGGGATGGGTGATCTCTGATGCTGAGCCGGCACCACTGAAAGGTGATGACAGTGAAATAAATCTACAAGCTGCCAAATGGTGCCACGATGTTGTTGGCAGCCATGGGGCCAGGGGACAAGGAGATTGTGCTGGGCCCCTGACGAAGAGAGGATAACAGCACTGTTTTAAATAAGGACTGGAAACACCCACAAGCCAATGGCTCTCAATGTGGGCACCAAGGTGCAACCCCCAGTGAGAGGAAAAGGAAGTCCCTGGCCCCGGAGCAACAAAATGAACAGCTGATGAGAAACGTTTTGCTCCCAGAGGGCGAGAGATGAGAGCCGCAAGCATTCAGTATCTGTGCAGATCACTTTATTAGTGCAACATCAGGCCCCACGATGAGATTTGCTACTATTGATTTCTGTTGTAATGTCTACGGCCAAGCCAAAGAGACATTCTCGAGGTCAATAAACTCTGCCGAATCCCTGTGGAGGAAAGCCTGAGGGTTGAAGCTGCTCTCGTCTGGGGACATGGGCAGCATAGTCTGATTCAGAGCATCACGGAGTTCTTCAGAAGCTCCCCTCCCCCAGGAACGAGCACTCTGCTCCCTCCTTCTAGAAGACCTGTGCTAAAGGCATTGCTGCCTTAGGGCTGTCAGAATAAAGATGGCGCTCCCTAGGCCAGGCAAAGGGTCTGCAACCCAAGTCGAAGCCCAGGTGGGGAAATTCCATCTCTCCAAACTATAAAGCAAGGTACCTATACCTACCAAAATAGGGGTCCCCAAAATGGAAATTAATGGGATAATCACCAAGAAATATGGTGCTGATATCAGGTTATGGGGGGCCCCAAGGAAGCAGGTATTTGTTCACCAGATAAAACTATGTCCATGCGGGCCCTCCCTGGTGGCGCAGCAGGTTAAAGCACAGCACTAAGAAGCTAAAGCCACTTCAGCATGAGTTCGATCCCTGACCGGAAGGTGACTCACATGGCGCGGCAGACCTCTCCTCATGTGCCCGCTGCTCCCCTCAGCAGTGTACTTCGTCAATCTGCCTGTTCTGCAACCCACTCTGTCTCTGGTGAATCCTCTCACTGCCCCTGCGCCTCTGGCTTGTACCCCAGTTCTGCATGCACAAATAACTAGATCTTTAAAAAACAAAAACAAAAACAAAAACAAAAACTATGTCCACCCTATGTAGGATCAGATTCTTCTGTGATCAGTTTCCCTCTAATGGAGAAACTCGGAAGCCACATGACAGCCTCAGAGAAAATTGCTCCTTCAGAACCTCCTGGCCTCCCCTGTCCTTCCTCTCCTGTCTTGAAAGCCTTGAAGAACCAGGGACATTGAGTGGGGTGAGTTATGAAGATAAGTTCTCTGTCAGGCAGGAGCACAGGCCCACGTCAGACACAATGGGACCAGCGGAGGAGGGTAAGGTCGGAGCTAAATTGAAACCTTTAAGTCTCTTCTGACATCTGTGCTCAAATGACTAACACTGGGTTCTTGAGGGATGAGCACCACATCTCCGAGAAGGCAGATTTGAAACAATAAAATGAGAAGGGGAGGAGGAGTTTGGAGCCCTGTCACCACTTCTTGTCTCCCCTGGCAGAAACCATAATTGGCGTTGACAGTTTACATGCTTGCTCTGTGCATTCGGGTGATGGGCCAGGAGACCCTGCCAGCTGGAAAAGCCCTGTGCAGAGGGGAGAAGGGGACACGAGTCTCTCAGAGGACTTCTCATTTCCTTCTAGAAAAAAACAGTTCAGAGTTCCAGGAAGAGAAGAGGAAACCACAGCCTTGACTAGGCTCTTACATGCAATGGATCTTAGGAAAAGTGCCGCATCCCCATGTAATAGCCCGGGGCAGCCAGTGGAAAAAGCTGCTGGAGGGCAATTGCTAACTGGACTCAGGTGTTCCCTGCAGTTCTCGCTCTTTCCAGATACTGTGGCTGTAACTACATCTGTGGCCCATGACGCACGTGACAGGCCCTCTTGGACTCCAGCCCTGTCTCCTCCATCCCAGCAGCACACAAAGATCAAGATCCTTCACCTGTTGAGCATCGAAAGCATGACCAGCTGCTACTGCACTAACCCCTGAATCAAGCTGCCTTTACCACCACCGGGCGAGTCAAAACACAAGCCAGATCTCTTTTTTGCCAGTGACTTGGTCCTGCTATGCTAATGGAAGGATGTTGAGCAGCTCTAATAAAGCCAGAAGATACTAGCTCACATGAAGGCCGTAGATGTTTGTTAGTTCTGATAAGATAAGGGGTCAGTCACTCAAGTCAAAATCTTGGAAGCAGTGTGGTTATGACCCAGCAGGGAGTGAAGAAAGTATCCTTTGTACTACGCTTACCAGAAATGATGCTTCATAGTTGACCGCACTATTCATTTGTTGGCCTCAGCATGCGCCTTTCTGGAGTCCAGTGTAAAGTTGCTCAGAAATTCTACCATGTAGTCAGGGGCTGAGGCAGCAGCAGCTTGGAGGCATGACTCCAGTTTTGTGTTTTGACTCACCCAGCGGGTGATAAAATCCAGGGACAAGGCCATGATTTGGATGCTTGTGGCTCCTGGGTGTCCCAGAATCCCAGCCCATGGGTCCTTTTGAACAGTAGTTTTCTGCAAGAGGCGCCCCCTGGCATCTCTCCAGCCTATGCACTACAGTTTGGGGAAAAATACCTTGGACCTTGGAGGATCTAGGTGAGAGGAGCGGTTAACACTCTGGACTCTGAATTCCAGCCCTGCACCCTGGCCAGACAATCACACGGTCCACTGAGACCAGCAGCAGCTCTGAGTGCCAACCTGCCTCCTGCTGAGTTTATCTCCCGTCTACATGGTGCGAGATCAGAAGAACTCATGCAGGCCTGCTGGCTCAGAGTTCCTCTCCTGTGCCTGATGTTGTCTGAGGCAGGTCCAAAATTTGAAGGCCCCTATCGGTGTATGAACATACAAATGGATGCAACTGTGTTTTAGTTAAGCTCATACTGATTCATAGGCTTCTCCTGCCACCCTGGATTCTGCTATGTCTGACATGTACCGTTACTCGGTGACCTTGCCTATGTGGATTGTTCAAGAAAATGTCATGGCAATTGTGGTCAGATTTACCCATGGATCCAGAACTAGAGTAAC